GTTGCCCTTCAAATGGAAGGAATATAGTAAGCATGAGAGAATTGCTTCTCAAACCCTTCAAAACAAATGGATTAGAAGATAATTCCCATCTAATAAACAGGAGAAGGCCTTGCATTGAAGAACTATTCAATAAAGATCTTAATCCAGGTATGACTGATCTATTGCATGCTCTAGAAATAGCTACAATGATGGGATGCCTTGTCAAAATCCTGTAGAGCAGATCAAGCTGGTGTATGGGTAAAATTCTTACTTTTCTAGGCTTTATAGAGGGCTAATACTAGTGGAGAATCAACCTTGATCAATAGTCAATGGAATGACCGTTATAACATCAACGTCTATAAAACTGCCCTTCTGTTAATATTGTGATGTTATTTTGTAATGTGGCTAAGTTTACAACCTCATCTGTTGATACTAAGAGATAATCAAAAAAATACTATCAGGCTGTCATCTGCAGGGCTGGTTAGCTAGGCATGAAATAAAATAAAGTTGGGGATAAGCAGTACTATTGAATAAGGATATCTGCATCATTGTGACACAAAGATTTACAAGTGGCATAAGTGATGTTATGGCTGAGTACCCTGGGCAGTTTGAGTAAGCTTAGACCATTACTCTAATCAACAACATATAGATTATTATGATGCTGTTGTGCTGAATCAGTAGGAAATTCTATGCATTATCAAAACATGTCAATGATCAGAAGATAGTTTAGGCTCATACATACCAGACATAACAATATTGTAACTACAACTTGTGCTATGCCAGATATTAATGCATTATTACATCTAAATTCTTAGTCCAAAAGGGATATAAAGTTGTTTTAGAATCCACAAAGTAGAGCAGTGGGATACATCTCTAGAAAAGACTCAAAACAAAATGGTGATGTATGTCTGTGAATGTCATTTTGTATCAACATGTCATTAACAATGTGTACCCTCATCAATCAAACCTGCCAGCCATGGCCCTCTTCACCCAAGTGAAGCAAAGGTGCTACACTTATGCTGGTGACACGCTCTGGGCAAGTTTGGGCGTCGGTTTGAGGATGAGAGGCTGGCTGTGAGGACTTCAGTATGCCATAAGCCCCTGTGCTAGTAAGCCACAACCCAGGAGACGTGCAGCATCATTTCTCGCTTGCACACTGAGCAGTGGGCAATTTGCTATGAGATGCATCATTTCCTGGCATGGTCATTCCGCTATCAAGCTCTGCATGGCCTGAGTGAGTACACAGTGCACTTGAAGACATTGGCGTGTGCACCAAGACAATCAACACAGGCAACCACAATGTGGCCCACTCACCTGTAAGCTGGCAAGAATTTGCTGCATCATTAGAGGAGGAGACCCAACCATTCTATTTCTTCTTCTTCTTTGGCTTCTTCAAGCTCTCGAGTCTTCGCTGGGGCAGGCGGCATTGTTAGGATCAGTTTATGACACCTACTGATCAGCAATAAGAAATTTCTGTGCAAATGGTGTCACTGATGAGCACTTGCACCTTGATGTGTACAATGGACTCTTCAAGGTGTGTGGCAGGGAATGCACATTTGCACCGCTCCCTCTGCTGATGTTGTTTGTGAGTAGAAAATGTGGTCCAGGAGGCCAGGGGCTCCCTGAGGAAGTGTAGCTGGTGCCACGTCGCTGAGCGTGCAGAGGAGGGGGGTTTCAAGTGGGACAATGCCAACCACAGTTGTGCTCATGACAGTCTTCTGACTACTTTGCTATCAGTGTATACAGAGTGTAAGCAGCAATGGCAGACAATGGTACCTGAGCAGAATGCATTATTGTCAAAGCTTACAGGTCACTTCAGCATAATCACCTATTCAACTACCATCAGGCAGTCAGTCAGGGATAGTCTTCATGCTCAGGAGCCAGTCACATATCCTGATGTGGGTTTGCTTATGCACTTTCAGCGCTGCCTCCAAGCAAACCTTCACAAGAACGACAAAAGAGCTGCACTCAAGCCACAAATGAGGTCCTCCTTCGAGTTGCATCTTCTACTGCCCATGTATACATGTGCCACAATCTGGCACATAGACTCAGAGCTTGGACACAAGTTCTCATGGCCTGCACACCTAGCCCCTTGTCGCCCATCGCCTTCGCTTCTCGTCGCTCCTCGTCGCCGCATCTCTGCCCGCACTCTGTTCGGAGTTCGGACACGCTCACGCGTCTTTTGGATCATCTTCTGCTTTTCATTCTCCTTCTATCTAGGTGGATACAGTCTGCCTAGTTGTTTGCCTCCTCTGAGCTGGTCGACACTCTCACCCTCGCCTTCGACTCAGACCAGGCGGATGGCCCGGATCATCATCATGTGGAGCCCACCGCGAAGTTAGCAGCACTCAATGAAGCCCAGTGTCAAGATCATGCATAGGGGCAGTGCTATTGATGCACTCAGCTGACCAGTCAGGACAGAAGAAAGAATTGGTTGAGAGCCCTAGGTGCATGTAAGGACAATATTCTAATTCATCACATGAGTACTTGGGATCAATCTCAGGAGGAAGGCCTCAATCTTTCCAGTCACTGCCTTGCAGTGCCCGACCTGTGCAACGGTGGGATGCAAGCGAGAGCTACAGGACACCATAAGTCAGCCACACGGATATCTATGTTCATCCCATCTCAGCCGGAAGGTCAGACTGATAGTCTTTGCAATGGGCCCTCATCTCCTGCTTGACCAAGAGTTACATGGTGATTGGTGTGCTGGCTGGTTGCCCTGACCAGGGCAGTGTGGGCCTGCAGTGCGCACACCTCATTAATGAGGTGCAGGCACTTTATTTCCATCTCCTTGAGCCAGTAAATGGCAGCCCCTTCAAAGTACAAGATCAATGAGGCCAGGATGCACACAATATAGTGATTGTTGAGCCCCTGCAAGAGGGTACCCGGGGTTGAGTGTGGGTACAGTTTAAGTGGGCCCATGTCAGGGGTCAGACACAGTATTGGTGGACATGACATCATGACTGAGTTTACACTTGGGGGTGGTCAAAGAGGCTTGCTCTGTGGCTCCCCCTTTGGGTGGCCTCATGTTACACGGTCTCGACCTGCTGACCTATCCCTGCAGACAGGTCCTGGCCCATGAGGCCAATGTCCTTGAAGATCAGTGCCGTGTTGCTGTGGTGACAGTACTCACCTGATATAGCCTCAACATCCTTCAAGATGAGCATGTCCACAAACCTGTTTGGGTCCCATGGCACAATGCAGTTTGGCATCAGCTTTGTGCTGCTTATAGTGAGGGCCAGCTTGTTGACCACAGTTGCCTCTTGACAGAGTGTCTTCAGATTTAGTAGAGGATTGCGGCCACCTCGATCTTGCACTTGGCCAAGGCACAATCATTTGTCCTCTACTACAACCACAGGTACCCCCACCTGGCAAGCCATGTATTGCTGTGTAAAGTACCTCTGAGCAATGCTCTATGACATGACCACTCTGAAAACTGCTAAACCCTCCTCCCAAGATGGTTGGTCAGGGCTACCATGGAGGACCAGCACCCTAGCACCACTGGTGAGGGAGGTCAGGCTGGAGGCGTGTTTGAGGCACCCCCATTGACACTCTGCCAGGGGCAGCCAGTTGGTCATGCGGGCCAGTGGCCATGTGACCAAAGAGGAGTGGAATGAGTGTTGGTGTGTCCCAGCTAACAGTTAGCTGTGCTTCCGACCCCTAGGGCTGCCAGACATCTAGGATACTAACAAGGCAAAGGCCTTCCTATCCATGCAAGCAACATTAAGCACCCTGACAAATTTCATGTGCTTCCTTTGTAGGTAGTTCATCAAGTCCTGCAGCCACTCACACAACATCCAAAGGTGCAACTTCACATTCAAGAGGTTGTTGAGGTTGGCATGCTCCCAGAACTGTAGTGTGAGCAAGGGTGCATCTGTGCAGTAGACGATGACATGGTGGGTGTCTGGGCTCACACACATACACACATACAAACATCCAATTTCCCTCGATGTGTGCGTTGATTTGAGACAGCGAGCATGTTGCCTTGTGCACATGCTCCTCTTGCAGTTGCTGGGGACAGCCTAGCCTATAGATGGGCTTGCCACTCTGAGGTCCTTCTTAGAGCAAGGCTGGTATTGAAGACACTCACCTTTGGGCTTGTTGTCTTGCATACTGACTGGTCTTGCTTTGCAATGGGCACTCAGGGTGGTTTGGTTTTCATCTATGCAGCTAGGCTGCATGTTTTTCTAACAGATACGTCCCCAGTATCATACAAGTAAGAGTTGATACCGATCATAGTCAAGTCATAGCCATAAAGTGTCCATACTGATATGTTTCATTTCATTTCATGGTTACCATTGCAGGATGCCCCTCACACCGTGGAATATGAGAGCTGTGGTTTGTGCTTAAAAGATATGCCCCTTGTGTATGATATAAGACCCTTCTTGTGTGAATCCAACCACTAGATTGTGGGGTATTGTGCTTCACAGTGGGGTCGTGCCCTAGGTTGGTACCAGGCAATGAAGATCTTGAAGCAATGAGCCATTGGGCTTGGTTTACGTGGACACTGGAGGTTTCCAAGGATGATGAGTTCTGCAGGCAAAGTGTGTGGCCTTGATGGTGAGAGAATAGGAAGGGCCTATGAACAAACATAGACAGCCACCAAGCATGAGGGAGCCAAGCTACCTGCACATGGGTACATGTGCATGCAACGAGCCGGTCTGCTCAGGTTGCATGACATGGAGATCTAAAGGCACAAATCACAGCAGAAAGAGGTCAGCCATGTGGTGCAAGAATTATGTGTACAACAAGCAGAGAGTGAATTGACAGCGGACATACATGAAGGCAAGGGCAAGCTCTGCGTTTATGCTGGGACACATGTACTAGGTGACTTGGGTAAGAGGGCCGTGTCCGGCAGGTATGATTGATGAGGATGTAGATATTGATTACAAATGATCATAATCATTACAAAGTTGGAGTAAAGTTGAGATCATACTTTCACATGTGGAAAAGACTATGTGACCAAAATGATTACTTTGATTACAAAGTTGAAGATTCAATATAGATCTCATTCTAATAGCAATTACACCATTAAAGTGACCAGTAAGCTTTGACAATAATGCATTCTGCTCAGGTACCATTGTCTGCCACTGTTGCTTACACTCTGTATACACTGACAAAACAGTCAGAAGACTGTCATAAGCACAGATGTAGTTGGCATTGTCCCACTTGAACCCAATGAAATTGACTTCACATCCTATCCTACCATTTGACATCTCCAAGGCTACTTAATATGGGGCTCATCTCCATTACAGAACTGGTAACATGGCAGGCAGTTACACTTGATGGCAACAAGAAGATCTTGACCAGCTACACTCTGATGTATTCAAGCTTGGCTCACATTCAGGCAGTGCACAAGTTTCAGGGAGACCACAAACACACAATGTGCAACCTCACCTTCCCTGGGGTGCCCATACTCGCTTACTAAGTGCAGCTCTTGCTGATCTGCCAGCTCCACACCACTGGTTATGAGGGCAACATGAGGGCAACATGACAGGGCTACTACTGGCTGATTAGCTGCAGAAGACAGCAACTGGTCTGTGGAACACCATCCCATCTAGTTCACAGACCTAATATGTGCTTTCAAAGTTACAAGACTACAACCAATCCCTAACCTAACCCTAAGTGGAGCAAACCCAGGAGAACAGCCAGCGAATCAAATGCACATTCTGGAGCTCATTGAGGTCAACAATGGAGAGCATGACGACAACATCATGCTGGACCTCATGTTCGATGAGGAATGTGACATTGTCCAGTTCAATACTGTGACAATATTGATGCAGGCTCTGGCAAACCCAGCCCAATTCCACCAACTGAATCTGCAAGTGTCTGTAAACCCACCACAACATGAGATTATTGTGCGGAAGGCAAGTGTCCTGTTCCAGACCGCTGCAATGAGTGGCAAACCTTGTGCTAACCTTACCATACAGGAGCCAGAGCCGATCTGTGTAGCCATAGCCGGCTGTTGCTTTGGACAAGTATAATATTGGGCACACATCTTGCTATTCAGCACCATCTTGATATGAGTATGACATATTGTCCATCATTTTTGCAACATAGACCTCATGGAGGCAGAGCACCATGCGGCATAGGAAGCAGGGCTGTGGGTGTAGGAGACAGTGTCCAATTTACACTTTTGTCACACATCTTCTGCACTGTGGTAAATCCCCAGATGAGTGTGCTCCTACTGTATGATGGCTGTGCTTCATGGTGGTCCTGCATTGGACAGATTGCATAGTACTTTGCCTCCAGACGTAGGTCCAAGGTATAAGAATGCTAATACTTCACTCAATTCCTCGCATATATCTTGGGCATGGGAAGGGAATGGGTGACCACATTAGCATTATGAGTTGTCTGGGCCCTTACCTTGACACCCTTGTAGGTAGTACCAATCACCCTACCCAATGGGTGGCCGAAGCAGTGGCTTGCTCTCACCCCCCAATGGAGTGAGTGCCAAGAAGCCTTGTGGTGAACAGATCCATGCTGAGGTTAATTTCATTGAGGAAGGGGATCTAGCTTCAGGTCTTCTATGCCTTCAATGGAGCGGTCAAAAGCGGACTGAACCAGGGTCTCCAGCTCCACCTGGCAAACAACCTGTCAGGAGGGTTAGCAAGCGGAAGCACCCTCACCATGAACCACCACTGTTTGTGCATCCCTATACATCCGGCATAGCCCCTCACAGAGAAAATATGATTTGATGACTTCATCTAAGCCCATACTGAGCCATTGGCATGCGGCCCACCCATAGGAGCAGATCAATAAATCTTGCCTCCTGCATAACCTGCTGACTGCAGTGAGCTCCCCCTTTTACTTATCAGGTTGCTTACTGACACTTACCTACGCTTGTGGCCCTTAGAATTGCACTCATAGATACTTCAATATATTCTGTTAGTCCTGCGTAACCAACATCTGACTGAGATTCACACTCATAGCTGCGACTGGTGAAATGAAAGGCTCTAGTGTTGGCTGAGATGAGCTCAATATGTATAGTGAGTGAGTGGGCAATGCACATATAAGTAGGGTGCAAAACAAATAAACTAAACAAGTGTGTGGTCCCACAGGCACAACTGTTGCAGCATCCTCCATGGCTGGTGCTCCTTCCCATGCAGCTGGCACTGATCATGGCAGTGTTTCTGTAGCATTGCAATCAGATGGTGTGTCTATTAAATAAGACAGCTCACCAGTTGAGGTACACACCTGGATCATTGCTGTGTACATGGACTTTAAACACATCTAGCTCAAACAGCTTCTTGTCTGCGCAGAAGGAGATGGTGCTGGTCACAGGGAACACCACAATGGTCATGGCTGCACAGGAGGGAGCGCCGGCTGCATAGGAGGGAAGCTCACACATGCCCGGGCTTGAAGCTTATCTGTTCTTGCTCCTCAGCCTCGCACCGGTCCAAGTGGTTCCACACCCACAGTCTTTTGGTTGGAGTGCATCATTATCTGAGACTGCATGAGTTGCTCCCCCTACTACACAATCACAGGGTGTCATCCTATCCTGCCATTTGACATCTCCAGCATGCACCTGTTCACCACGAGGTTTCTTGGCACCCACTGCATCACAGTCATCCTCTCGCTTACGCTTCACCGACTTCTTGTCCACTGTATTGCTCACAACTGTCAAAGCTTGTGTGCCCTGGGCTGCAACATATCCAGCTGTCTTCTTTGGCTGATCAGGTAGATCTGGTTTGGGCTGCTTCCTGTCCTTGGGTTTTGCCTTCTCGACTATCTGCCATGGAGCATCTGCCTGCACATCTTCAATAGGAAATGTATCACCAACATTCCATTTCAGGGCCCTGTGCATTGTCTTTGGCATGAACTGCTCTCCCTTCCACTTTCTGAATGAATGGATCAGTTCATTGCGTGTGATGCCTGTCACTTTGGGTGAGATCTTGCCCAGGTAGCGCAGCTTGGTGATTTCATCGAGCAACTCAAGCTCTCTGAACTCCTGACGCAGACTCCCAGATATTCCACCAGTCAACTTTCTTGGGTCAAATGGCTGCACAATAATAGTCCCATTGTATGTAGATCCTCTGGACAAGCATGTGTAGATTGACTGGTGAGAGCGGCAATTATGCAAATCACACACATTGTATGGCCGTGTACGTCCCTGGGATCCAAAGTCTGTCATGGCAAAGTTGGGAATGACTGATACCTGATCACGGGAAATGGACAGGAAATTTCCATTGGGCATCTTGCACCTGATCTTGCGTGACTGGTGGCTGATGGGCACTACATTCTCTGGCAATCCATCCAATTTCACAGTGGTAGGGGCAGCAGTGAGCTTGACAAACAAAGTTTCCAGGGCTTCCTTGTCCTCACTGATGGGTCTGGACCTCCAGCCAACAACCACACCCTCTGCTCCATTGGTCACACAGCATTCAGTTGCTTCATTGATCTTGATCATCACTGGCATGCCCACACACAGAGTCAATTTTCCTGGCAGATGGTCAGTGAGGGTGTGCGACAAATTCCACAGACAATCCTGGAGCTCTGCACTGAGAATATTGGTGGACCTTCTTGGATTCATGGTCTGTCTGCACTGCTTTTTGGTTGCATTGTCATCTGCATTGGCTGAGAGCTTGTCCACAGAATAAAATGTAGTCAATGGCTGGCCATTTTCTCTTGCAAACCTCTCACATCCCAGTTCATTGATCTTGTCTCTGTGTGTGTTCCAGGCAGTAATAATAGACACATTGCGGAAGCATGGCTGGTTCAATTTAGGTCTGCCTGGACCACGTCCTGCAACACGTGACTGCAGAAGCTTGACATCCTCAGGTGTCACCTCATCATACACATATCCGCTCTAGAAGCAGGTGCGGAATTTGTGGCTCTTGCAGTGGTCTGGATGCTTGAGCAAATACATGGCTGCCATGGGTCCACCAATTTCAGAGCATGCAGTGAGCGAGTTCACTATTTTGGTGATCAAAGACCGGGCCTTCTCTTTAGTAGACTTTTGACTGCCTAACAGCTCCACGATGCGCTCAAACACCTGCTGGATAGACTGGAACATCACATGGGTCTTGAGTGGGGTTTTGGTTATGTAATCAGCAACATAGGCTATGACAGACTTGATAGCAGTGCCTGACAACAGACTGGTGACATCAGTGTTCCCGTGCATGAGATAGGTGACTGCGTGGGTGATGGTATTGATCCAGGCCTCTCCCTTCTTCATGATCAGTGCACCAGTGCTTGGGTCTACCACAGTCTCTGGATGTGTCTCTCTGGGGAACCGGGCTTTGCAATTTCCATTTTTGTCTGTGCAGCCTCGATTATTACGATTGATGAGGAACGAAGAAATCGTTTCTTATGGGGTGAGCTTCCTGCCAACTTGCGTGACGCCAATCCGACCCCGTGGGAAAAAATTACTTACCCATCATTAGCTTTCTGATAGGCGCCACATACAAAATTTTGTAATGTTTGCAGGGTTAGGGTTGGATTCCAATAGCACAGCTTAGGGTTAGCCTTAGCTCAGTTCTAATCACAATTCTTACCACATGTAAAGCCTCTCCCTGGGCGCTTGTGTAACCCTAGGCTGCACAGCACATGTGGCGCTCACTGCCCACTATGCCTACAGGCTATGTCCCTCAACACATGATTACGATTGATGAGGAACGAAGAAATCGTTTCTTATGGGGTGACCTTCCTGCCAACTTGCATGTCGGAAAGTCGACCCCGTGGGAAAAAATTACTTACCCATCATTAGCTTTCTGATAGGCGCCACATACAAAATTTTGTAATGTTTGCAGGGTTAGGGTTGGATTCCAATAGCACAGCTTAGGGTTAGCCTTAGATTGGTTCTAATCACAATTCTTACCACATGTAAAGCCTCTCCCCTGGGCGCTTGTGTAACCCTAGGTTGCACAGCACATCCGCTCACTGCACACTATGCCTATAGGCTATGCACTGTATCAAAACAGACCCTTAACACATGATATAGTGTAGTTCAAGTACTATACCCCTAGTTTCCTTTTAGAGCAGTGATCTGGTAGTAGTATTTGGATGCCACATGCCACTAAGAGAGGCTAGTCAGCTATCAGTTGAGGTATTATGTACTAAAACAAAGGGTCATATATGTTTTTGTGTGTCATAAGTGATTGATCTGAAAACTATTGTATGCATTCTGGCTTGCAAAAATGGTAAAA